GGGATATGCTGGGCCGGGAAGGATCCATCGGACCTGTCCTTCGATTCGGGGAAAAAGAAGGACGTATTTGTCGGACGCATCGGAGGAGTCTTCCGTTTTGGACATCCTTCGTCGCGGCGCTGTGACGTATGCGGCCGACAAATTCGACCTTCGGAGGACCCGTCCTGCCGTTTTGGACACAGCCAATCTCCATTCAAATTTCGTCTCTTTTTATTTTCTTCTTCCTGTAGATTTTTTACTGCTTGTCAGATAACTTTGATCCTCAGTCAAAAAAGGAGGTCTGAGGGGTTATACTTTTTTCGGTTGAAGAGAAAGATGAGACTGATAATGGACAGTGACGTTTTTTCCACAAGATTACCGTGTTTCCTGCTCCCTTCAGCTGCAGTTTTCCCGCATAAAAAAATGGAGGTTGAAATCATGTGACTAAATGACATCACGCCGACTTCGAGAATAGGAGGGTTTCACGTGACGTCACGATGCAGCGCCACTAGAGCGCGAAGTTCGGATGGAGGTCAGGAAGTGAAAAAGTGGAGGATCTGCTATCTGAAAAAATGCCCGTATCTTGTGTAGTTTACGAGAGCTCTACTCATTCTAACTGAGTTAATAATAAATAATTATACACTGATTAAATTATATATTAAATTAAATTAAATTATGGCTCTTTTTATTAATGTTCGTCATATTTGAAGCACGTTGCAGCAGGAGGATGTAAAATAGGGCTGATTCACGGGGGAAAAACACCTCATTTACTCTCTGGTGTCACCCCCACCCCGCCGAACAAACCTAACCCCCCAAACTCCTTTCTGACTGAAGCCTGAAAATATTAGACAAGCAGCAAAAAATCTACAGGAGGATAAAAATAAAAAGAGGCGGAAGTTAAATAAAGTTCGGCTGCGATGGAGACAGCAAGATCGGAAGTCAGCAATGAGATATCTGAAATTTATTACATTTATTATATTTGTACAACTATATTTCATAGTTACGGTGAAGTTTAGTTAGTTATTTTAGTGTCTTTGATGAAAAAAAATGCGATGAACGTGGAGCTCCAGTCCATCTGCGGTCAGGTGGACCGAGTCGGACCGAGCTGCAGTTTGACAGAGGAGCTCAAAGGCAGAGATGGAGGAAAACCAGTCGGAGACAGAGTGAGGACTTTGATGAGGAACTAGGTGATTCATTATTTCAACAATAAGAGGAAAGAGAAGAAGATCGAGCACCGAGCGGACTCTACGGTCCCGTTACCGGTCTGCCGGGGCAGACGGTGCGGCGCTAACTGGATGCTAACTTCATGAACAGCTGATGAAAGCATGTAAACAACGGGAGGTGGAGAACTTTTTATTCAGCCGGTGGATCCACAACCTCGGTACCTAACAGCTCCATGATGATTTTCGTTTGTTTTTTGCCAGGGTGAGTGTTTTTTCTGATATAGTTTTATTTGTTAAGACCATGCTAACTGTAGCCGCTAACGTCAACAAACATCCAGCACCTAACGACACAGAACTAGGGCAGCCTAAAGTCCAGATGAGGTCCACATTAAACTACCAGTAACTTAATACTAACTACTAAATAAACGATCATTATAAGCATAACCTCTAAAACAAGTTAGCAGCTAACAAACGTCTGATTAGTGATCGCATTCTGCTCCTCCCGACCGCAGACGGTTTAAAATCCACTTTTTACATTGTCGTCCTGTGAGCTTTCTACATTTTTCATCTTTGTGTGATAATCAGTGTTATACGTTTATTCATCAGATAAACTTTTGCTTGTTATTATTTGTCACCTGGTGATGTAACATGTGTGTGGTATCGACAGCCTCAGAAAATCTTTAGTTTCTGTCGAAAACTCATTCATCTTCATCATACGAGTCATGTCTGACATATTTGTGAACAAATTGTTGTTATATATCTTTAAATAGGATCTAAATCCATAAAATATAAACTCTACAGTGGTTTCCTCCAGACATTTTACCCCCTGCCCTCCAGCAGAGATCGCTCCGCCTTCGAAACCACGTGACTGAAACCCAGCTAGGACCGTGTTATTCAACAACTATGACATCACACAGGCTCCGCCTCCTTTAGGAGCTCTGAATGGAAATTCATTTTCTGATTTTCATGCAGTTTGTTGAAAAAGGCATGTTTTGGTCTCATTTACAACTATATTTAATAATGCTGTTGATCTGCGCTCTTGCTCTGCAGAGAGGTTTTTTTCTACAAATACCATAGTGTGTCACATTTAGTGACATAAATATGATGTTATTGTTTTTCCCTCATCTTGTGTCGTACTTTGTTTTTCTTTTAAGGGTAACGCCTTCTCATGATGTCTTCATGATGATGATGATCTTTGCTCTGTGCAGGGGTCTTATCTTATCTTATATTCATACAATAAATTAAATCACATATGGAGGTTGAAATCACGTGACTAAATGACGGTGGTAGCTGAACAATTGATTTGCTTTTTTTTGGAGGAAAATGACATTATGGACATTTTTCAGTCTGGATTTCACAAAGTACACTCCACAGAAACAGCTTTATTAAAGGTTTCAAGTGACTTGTTGATGGCAGCTGACTCTGGAAACTACACTGTACTGGTTTTATTGGACTTAACTTCAGCRTTTGACACTGTGGATCACTCTGTTCTTATCAACAGACTGAGAGATAATTTTGGT